AAAGCATTTCTTTGGGTGACATATTGCACAAGTACAACAGGATTAGCATCCTGCCCTGCGCACGTATTTTATGGAAGAATCGGACCGAATTGGCATTGTGGATAGAAGAGTGATTTCCACCCGACATGGCGGCCTATGACCAAGACCCACCCGGGGCGGCGGCAGCGCTGGCGGCGGCGGCGCTGGCGGCGGCAGCGGCGGCGGCGGCGGCGGTGGAGCGGGCCGGCCGTGTAGTTGACCGTGGCGCCGTTGCAGCATGTCCAATGTGTTCTTCTTCCGGCTGCGCTCGTTGCGACGAGAGCAGCAGCGCCGCAAGCCGCAGCGCAAGTCGCACTCGAACGTGCTCACGGTGGCACCCAGCCGCCTGTTCGAGCGCACACCCATGGAACCGGCCGACAGCCTCGACAAGGTGGCCGAAGCCATACCCAGGTAACTGCGGTGGCGGCGGGCGCTGACGAGGCCGCTCTCTCGCCGTGGCCGACGCGGCTAGCCGTGGCCATGCGCCGCTGGTCGGTGTCTGGCGTTGTGTGGCGACTGGCTGTGTGGGCGTGTCGTGTTGCTGGCGACGCGAGGGCGTCGCCTGCTGGAAACATTGCGAATGGGAATGCGCGTCTTCTGTGGCTTCAGACTGGTATTTTGTGGAAGGCTGTGATAAGCGGGTATTTGTCCGGATTCGTTCCACATAACCCATCGCAGTGACGGGCTCCACGACAGCGAGGAAGAGGGGAGTTATGTGCTTTTTTTGCGATCTCACCTCATGGCCTCAGCCGAGGGACAAATAGGGTTTCCTTACGCAAACCTGGAACTGGGACCTTTGCTTGGTTCCGACCCGCTCCTGAATGCCCCTCCGCAGAATAGGCAGGCGCTGCCCCTGCTCCTTAGTTAGCAATTGTGAGTGTGTGATGGTGTATTAAGTGTTATTAAGTGTATCGTCCTCATGTTAATCACCTTTTTGGGAATGGGTTGGCATGAACTAAGCAGCTGGCCAATACCATGGCAGAAGTGGTCAATCGCACGGCGGTGGTCCTGGCGGATGGCCGAACGCATTTTTTGACGCTTTTTTGCGTCCTGGTTGAGAAACAGCCAATACTTTAGCAATCCTCCGCTGATGCTTTGTCCACGTTTTAAGTGCGATAAAATTCGGAAGCCAGGGTTCTACCCATGTGTCATCACCCAACGTTTGTTTTACGTTTTGGTCTCGGACGCAGACTTGCTGAGTTTAAAGCAATACTTGATGCACGCGCGCTACTCCGTCCGGCTGAAATCACCCTCTCCTCGCAAATATCGAGAAGCACGAAACACTACCACGCAAGGCTGCTGGCGAAAAAGTCATCCATAGTCTCACTCCGCCCCTACTCCGCAATATGGCGCTTCTTAATGTTTGTGATGCTTTTTCAGCATTACCTGGTTGGCGTATTGTTTAGAAAATATCGGGGATAGCACAGGTGGCCCTAAAAATAAGGTCGTATTATTTTTCCTCAAAGGGCCATTTTGAGAGCCGTGCTGATGTTTGCAGCTGTCTAAGTCATTTGCACTGAATTGCTTGATGTGCGTGCTTCACTGTATGATGGCTTATAGTGTCATGAGGCTGACTGCCCAGCTACGGCGTGCGACCTCTTTGGTGCAATGCTTTCCATCAGCTAACTCATTATAAAATACCGTCACAGTGAGGTAAACCTAATGACCAGGAAATATTGCAAGGTGAAAGAGAAGCTCATTATGTGTAATTCGTTGTTCAGAACCAATTTTATCAGCGCAAAGCGTTGGCACACATAACTGATGGCGAAAATTGCAAGAACACACCCTAGAAGCTTGTCAGAATGGCATGCCCCTGGAAGTTGTGCACTCTACCTTTTCTCTCCTCTTTGTTGTTGCTTTTTTTTGTCTCCCAGTGACGCTAAAACTACAATTTTTCAGAGTAAAAGGCCCTGGTTCACGTTACCCATGTGCCAACATTTTAAGTTCCAAGAAGGTGACGAAGTGCGAATGTAGGTCATTAATCAATCACCGTTAACTATATGGTGAGTTCAATATATCATATATAATATATATATAACATATATATATATATATATATATATATAATATAATACTATACAGTGATATATTCATCGTTGACTACGATGTGTAGTCGGTGTCAAAAACGTCATTACGTTTGCGCACGCAAATGCTCAACAGTTTTGCAGGCAGCGCTCGAAACATGCAGAGTGCTGCGAAGTCATGCCACGACTGCCAAGGCTAACAGTCATGCTATGATTAATAAAGCCACTCATGGCAGTGATCGGTTAGCCCGTGCCTAAGATGCCGGCTGAAGATATGGACGTCTGGAGTATTATCGATGCGTTCTATGATTGTCCTCCTCCTGTCCTACGAGCGCGGACGGCAGCTTCTGAAGGATGAATATTGGTATGACATGGCGAGACCGAGTGCGATGACATAGGCTACAAGTGGGAAGCTGTGAGCTTTTGACCGAATTAAGAATCTTGTCTGGGAACAGGGGGAAGAAGATATTGCTTCCGTTAACACATGGACCGGTCACAAATCACGCAATTTGCTTCAAACTCGAGATGAGCTTGATCGGCGTTCCCTGATGAGCAAGGATATTTACAGTGTATGGAAGGTAGGCACTGCATGGGTGTCAGGTTTCATAGCTCGAAATGCCTGCCAAAAGGTTACTATAGATGCCTGTCATTGATTAATTTATTCGTCGTTTGTTTTCAGTACCATGGAATGGGGCTTTTTCAACCTTGTCCTTTGGTAATTAAGCTCCTGGTGCCAATTTTTAAACCATACATATTTATTTACGAAGCTTGTTTTCATAGTTATTGCGAACATGTGTCATTGTGCACTCAAGCATTGATGTGTCTTGTCTTGGTGTCAGTAACTTCATTTTAATGAGGTACTTGCATTTGTTGATGGTGGTAATGCGTTAAAGGAATTTACGAACACAAGACTGTGCAGGTCCAGATCATCACGTTCAATGCAAGTCACTAAACGAAAAGCGTGCCTCCAAAATGTCCGGTAAATCCTGCTGGACAAAATATTCTGGATTGTTTCAAGATAGCCCAAAAGTTTACAATCTCACCAGGCATTCTGTCCAGATAACAAGTTCAGTGAGCCCGTAGTTGGTTCATGTCGTCAACTGTTACGAGGGTTTCTAACTACATCGATGGATGACTGGATATTTAAACGATGCATTTTTGGGAGCTTTAATTGCACATTGAAGTGTTCATTGCGGCCACAATGACAATTGGCTGGTAAGACGTCTACAAGGCAAAGGCACGCTGGTCAGCAACAGCGACACACACACACATACACACACACACACACACACACACACACACACACACACACACACACACACACACACACCACACACACACACACACACACACACCACACACACACACACACACACACACACACACACACACACACACACATATATATATATATATATATATATATATATATATAATATATATACAATTTAAAACGATAGGCCGTGCTACAAGATGACAGTGCCATAATAATATCCCCATCAGCTATGGACAGACAGTTGTCACATCTTTTCAAATTTCGGACTACAGCAATTACAAGCTAGCTAGTCGTTGCCTTCTCAAAGGAAAGTTTACTTCGAAATGATTTCTTGCAACTTCGTGGGATAATTTCGGAAGAAAGTAAATGTTTGTTTCTGGATTGAGAGCTGTTGATCTCGTCTCCACCAATGACCTGACAAATCTCGTCAACACCAGTGAGCTGACAGATCTCGTCACTACCAACGACCCGACAGATCTCGTCACCACCAACGACCTGACAGATCCCGTCAACACCAACGAGCTGACGTATCTCGTCACCACCAATGAGCTGACAGATCTCGTCACCACCAACGAGCTGACAGATCTTGTCACCACCATTTATCCTAGCCTTGTCATCAAAGCTTTCAAAACTACGGTGACCCGAAGGTTTTCTGTGGCGTTTGGTGATGGCCGTTAAAGGAAGTGTGTCTCGTCAGGTTTGGATTTTTGACTGTGCATGTAAGATGGAAGAGAATTTCGATTTACAAATTTTGGTGTCGTCGGTTTCTACAAATTCGCGTCCGCTGACTAGATATTGCTACAGCCCCCTCAAGTGTTCTTTGGCTAGTATGGAAGAACGAAGTTATCGGGTGGCCCCCAAGCAGTATTCACAACTAAATACGTCGACATTGTTGAGAAGGTATCGCTAGCTCAAGCCAATGGCTTTTCGAGGATGTCGCCCGTCAGCGCTGACAGCAGTTTGCGAACGCAGCGATGGCGGTGGTCATTATGTTGATGATTTTTTAAAATACATTCAGCCGAGGACTGCAAGTGTGCGAGTTAAGATGTATGGTGAGGCTGGTCAGTTGATGCGCACCAGCTCATGTCGGCCTGCTATATACCGGGGTGAGGGACATGTATTGTATCGTGTCAATCGGCCGTGCCAGGCTCTAGGGAAATGTGATTGCTTACGTTGCTTAGTAACCGAAATAATGGCCATGTCTGTACCGTGCAGTTACTCGCTACATATAAACCAGTGCATTTGTTCTTTCCTGCCCGCTGATTGGTTTATCTTTTAGAATTGTATTTTTCACGCACAGCCATCGAAGGGATTGATAAAACCAAATAAATTAAAGCTGTTGCAAGACCCGCATGCATATTTACCAACCGAAATTAACCATAGATAATTGTCAAACTCCACTTAGGCGTTTATTGGGAAAACCAAAAACATAACGCACCTCCCTTTAACCTCGTCCGGGCGGCACGGACGGAACACCTAGATTTCAGTGCTCGACTTTCTGTGTTACACATGGTCAAAAACGGTCTGATTGGTGACCTATTTCCGTTCCAAGGCCATTTCAGTGCAGACGGTTCGTGAAAATCTCATCTGCTAGGACATCTGCAAATGTTTTTTTGGCGTAGCTGTCATTGCCAAAGCTCTGCCACCAGTGTCTTTACTAATTAGTAGGATATTAGGAGTTCCAGCATGAGGCGTGCGTGCAGTAAATACGGGTGGGTATATGCACGTGGACGATATAACGCTTATGATTGTGAATTCCTTCCACAAGTTCACCCTCGGAAGCTGAGCTATAACCCTCATCACCCTCATACATATATATATATATATATATATATATATGTATATATATATATATATATATATATATATGTATATATATATATATATATATATATATAACTTCCAAAACCCTAACCTGACCTTACTCGTCTTTGGCGTTCACTCTAACTGTGCTTATAGTAAGAAGATTACCTTTGGGGACTATCACAGCAGTTTCTGCTGTAAATGCACGGGAGCAGTCATAGCTGCACAAACTTGGAAGCAAGGCGCACATTTGGTACAGAGTTGAAATGCATATAAATCATAACTGTCGTTCTTCGCCACATTTCGGC